TCAACTTGGAAGTATCATGACCAGAAGTCTGAATCATGTAAGCCTTCTTAAAGGACTTATCCTTACCATTTTTTTTTAATTTAGATGCTTTTAAGTTCATGCCTAATGTTCTTACTATATATTTTCTTCCAAGTACATAATTTGCATAAACTAGTAATAATGCTAATGATACTCTGTTTATTTTATCTGACTATTGCTGAAGCTCTTATTCCTAAGATTTATTGAGTACTTTTGCTTTCTTCCCAACCAATAAGAACAAAAACAACCACAATGCTGAAGCAGAATTCTGGATGCCTCCTCTATACCAAACACTGCCCCTTTCGTTATTTCTGTACCATGTGGTGGTCCATGAAGTCCTACTAAGCATGGAGCAAGACTCTGAATAATAAGAACATAGGACCACTAAGCACCTATATATTTTAATCACTGCTTCATAGTGGTATATAAAGGCAGAGCGTCAGATGGGCTTGTCTGCACATTATCTGTACTCTGTTCAAAGCACATGATTTATTGCTTCTTGAAAATAACCTCAAAAACATATCTTTTAAAAAGTATGCTTAAAATTTTCTTATATTAAGATATAAAATATTCATAACTTTTTATGCTTTGCCAGGTCAAAATAAATAATATTCTCTATCAATTTCCTTCAAAGGGAAAAATATGAAGGCTTTTTTTACTATCATCTTTCTAAAAATAATTTTGTTGGCATATAACAGTTATACAGGAGGATACATTGTGATATTTACATATGTGCTTAGAATATATCTTACCAAGTTTTTTTAGTGGTACTGGGGATTGAACTCAGAGCCTTGTGCTTGTTAGGCAGGTGCTCTACCACTTGAGCCTCACCTCCAGCCCATTACAAAATGTCATAGTAGGATTTACCCTATCTATTGTTCTCCTTCTTCCCTGTTCCCCTCTTTCTTACAATAATTTCAACAGGTTTCATTCTTCTATATTCATATATAAATACAAAATACATTCACCATGTACCTCCTCATTCCCTGTTTTCTTGCTCCACACATATCTTACTGGTACCTAACCCTGGAAAAGACCTATTTTTCCCTCCTGTCTTCATTTTTTTATTAAGTTTATATTGATAGTCCAAGAGGGTTCTCTCTTTGGTACTTCAGGTCTGTATATATTGTGTTTTAATCAAATTAACCCCCTTCCCTCTGGTACTTACTCATTCTCTATTACCATCCTCTCCTAATATTCAACACCTTACTGTATAGTACATTATATTGTACTTATATATACATGGGTAGTTTCAATATTTTTTATTCTCTGACATTTTCTTTCTCTCTCCTATGTCCCATAGGCACCTCAGACAGACTCACTAATACAATTTTGTTCTCTCTCACACAATATATATGATCATATATGTTTTTACATACACATTTAACTTACAGGTCTAGCTTCCACATGTGAAAGAAAACGTATGACCTTTGATATTTTTTGAACTTGGCTTACTTCACATAACACAAAGCTCTCCAGTTCCATCCACTTACCTGCAAAGAACATAATTTAATTCTTTATGGGTGAATAAAACTCCATTGTGTTTATATGCCACATTTTCTTAATCCATTTATTAGTCATGAGGCATCTGGGCTGCTTCCAAAACTTGGCTATTGTAGACTATCACTAATACGACCTTAAAATGTTACCTCATTAATACTCAGTTTTGTAGTTGTTGAACTTGCTCCTCAGCCCTGATACCTGTTCTAAATTTATATGCCAAAGATAACCTTTATTGTACTTCAAGTGGATGAAAATAATAGGTCTTGCTTTTTCTGGAAAGGTATGTAGCAAAGCATTTTCAAGGCACAGAGTTTCATCCTCTGCCAAGGCCCTTACCACATTGTGAGGACTGGGAAATTGTTAACCTTGTTAACTAAGGCCCACAGGAGGTACAGATCACTGTTTATTGACTAAAAAATGTAGAAATTTTTGTAATAACATGAGGAACAATGGAGTACCAAGTTATTTATTTTCTGATCCCTACTACTCACATTTGGCTTTTACTTCAAATTAACATAAGCTTGATGGCAAATCAGAATACTTATGTAAGACAAATTGTATTTGGGGGAAAGCATGTCAGGGATAGTGTGAAAATTATGAGGATAACATTTCATGGCCTCTACTTTCTTCTATAATTTAAGGTTTCCAGGGCTAATGAAGAAGCCCACAATTAATAATTAAGGCAGTTATTTTCCTCACTTTCCTGGATCTCCTTCAGAAAAAATGGTTTGATGAAAATGTGACAGGTCTCTGACGCAAAGATAAGATCCTAAGTAGAAAACAGACCACACAGATCTTTTGGTTACAATTTAAAGTAAATCACTGATTCCAATTTGGGGATATTTGTTGTTTACCTTTTTAAAATTAAAATCATCTCCTAATAATGTTAGAATAACCTTCTTTCTCTTGAGAAACTAAACATAACATAGATCTCACTTTGTCCTTCACCAAGGCAGGAAGTGGGAGATAAATTGAATTTTTAAGTCTGGATACATCTTTGATGACATGTATGAGCTTAAGTTTAATGTTGCAATGCACCGTTTATGCTAACATTCCTTTTATAGTCTTCAGAATGAAGAGATTTTCTCAGAAACAATAAATAGTGCCAAGATTAGTTACACATCAGTAGAACAATGGGTCCTCATCTTCAAAGCTTGTCTTTTCTCAGAAGGGTAGGGAAATGAGTGAATGTGACTTTGAATTTTCAAATGGGAAGGAACACATGAGGAAAAATTAAGGTAAAATAGAGATAGGGCCTTACCACCTTTTATTAATAAAGATGCCTGAACATTCTGGATCAGAAAGCTTGCCCAGACATCTCAAAGTCTTCTTCACCTATTAATGGCTTTAAGTCTTGCTGTAACCACTGAAGGGCCATGTGAGATTGACTAAGAGAGTCAGAGGGTATTTCAAACTGTGTAAAGACATTGAAAGCATAATTTCAGACAATAAATATTTTTTAAAAAAACACTGGTAAGGGTGCTGAAGCTCATGGAAGATAAATGTTTTTTCTAAGCAAGTCATGAGCAAATCTTGAACAAAAACCAAAAGTCTACAACTTTCATTTCTACTTGCCTTCTTTTGCCACCAGTGACTTAAGGGTACTGAAAATCTTGAGGATGTAGGAGTAAAAGGAGTACCTTAACAGTTCTAGGAGAGGAAGCAGGGGTGAATGGTTAACATGGGGCACAATTGACTTTTCGCTTGTGTGGGTCCTAAACAAATGGTTTCCATGGAAACTATTGCCTGAGTCACTAGATTGCCTGTTTAATTCACTAAAACATAAATTCTATTTAGGACAAACAGTGGAGATAAAGAAAAAAATATAGAGAGGAAAAATTCAGAAATACTGGGACTCAAGAGATAAGAATAAGATGAATGACTATACATGAAAAGTACTTGCAAATATCTTCATCCTGTCTTGGGTTAATTTGTATAGTTACCCAGAAGACACTTTATGTCTTCTGTTACAGGATTGCCTCTTAATGTATCATCATGGAGATTCATAATTTAGGCTTTAAACCTAAATGGTTACTAACTAACTTCTGAAAAGTTTATAGGTTTCAAAGTTCATGTTTGAGGTCCTCAAAATGATGACCATTTAAATAGTAGATCAAAGAAAGTCCCTTTGATGAAAAATATTTAAATGATATATATCATTTGAGTATATAAAATTATATGAAAATTGAAAGAACAATAAAAAACATACACCTGTACATCTTGAGCTGAGTAAAGAAAACTTTACTACACACTGTACTCCTTTCTGCCTTTCTCTCTCTCACCAATCAGTGACTTTCCAGAAATTTGTATTATTCATTCCTTGATTTTTTTGAAAAAAAAATATAGATTCACTGTCCATGTATGTTCAGTAATATATTGTTTTATTTTGACTGATTTTCAGTTTCACATGGATAGAATTGGATTTTTTTTCCAAACAGCTTCTTTGATGCATCATTATGTTTTTTAGATCTATCCACCTACAGGAGGGCTGGAAGTATGGCTCAAGTGGTGGAGTGCCTGACTAGCATGAGCAAGGCCCTGAGTTCAAATGTAGTACCACCAAAAGCAAGTGACCACTTAGAGGCATGAAGTAGTTTATTTCACCAATTACACAGTATTTCATTGTTTAATATACTATTGCTCATCTGTTCTAGTAGAGATAATTGAGGTGCTTGCATTAATTTAGACTTCTACTAATCAATGCATAGAAATTCCTAATAGTTCATATTAATTTACATCTTCACCAGCTCTCCATTTTGTCAGTCTTTTTAATTTTAAATTAATTACTTTATTTTGGGAGTGTTTTTGAGAAGGGTCTCGCTACACAGCTCAGGCTCATCTTGAATTCGTGATTACACTGCATCAGACTCAAATGCTGTGGATTATGAGTTGAATGGATGTGAAAAAGCACCTCATTTTTGTTTAAAGATACACTTCCCTGATGATTAGTGAGGCTGAGCATCTTTTCTTATGGATTCTGACCATTTAGGGTCTTCTCTCCTGTTCAAGTCTTTGCCCATTTTTTAAATAAAAATCTATCCTTTAATGATTTGTAGTAAGTCTTTGTACATTCAGGATACTTATCAACTTTATTCATACATTTGAAACAAATATTTTTTTCCCAGTTCATAAGCTATCTTTTATTCTTTATATAATACAAAAAATATTCATTCTACAGTAGTCAAATTCATCCATATTTTTCATTTTTATTAGTTTGAGCCCCAAGTTATATATTTTTCTTTTTAAGAAATACAATTTTTCAATCTTCATTATTTAAAAAGTTATAATCTCATACCATTTGATATAACAGTTTGTGATTTCTGCATCTTGTTTAAAAAGCTTTTAAGTGTGACTTCATAATGGTTCTACTTTGTATTTCCTTTAAAGATTTATAGTTTTGCTTTTCATATTTAGTTTGTTAAAGTATTTATATTAATTTTTTTTGGAATTAAGTTTAAATCTTTTTTTTCTACATGTAGTTAGCAAGTTGCCCAAGAACTACTCATTGCACTTTGTTGAGAAACAATTTTCTACAGGCCTCGGTTTCTGCACTGTTTCTAAGCATTTTGATACACCCTGCCTTGCAAGGATGCTTGTAGTGAACAGCCTTGGAAGGGTAAAGCAGAATCTTCCTTTCAGTTTATATATTTGCACACACGTGTGAAAAGTTGTTGAGGAGAACTAACATCTTTCATACCATTGAACTTTCAGTCCAGGAACACTGTGTGTCTCCACATAATTTACATCTTCTTTGACATCTTTGATAAAGTTCTATACTGTTCTTAAAAGTCTCCTTCACAAATTGCACTTCATATTTTTAATGTATTTTTGATCAGTGTTACATATTCTTATTTGGTTGATGCATAGAAGATGAATTAAATTTATGTATTGACTTTTATCTAGAAAAATTTTAAACCCTCTTACATATCTAATACCCTCTTCATGTATAATTATATCATCTGTGAATAATAGTTTTGTGTTTTGTAAATGGTTTATACTTTTTCTTTTTGCTAAAGAATTTTTTTGGCTATAACCTCGAGCAAAAGATTGAATTTAGCCAGTTTGTTCCTGAACTTAAAGGAAATGATATGTAATTTAACCACGTACTCCGATATTACCGAGGTTTCATTACAGAATTTTGCTAAGCTTTTGTAAACTCAGAAGCGGTACTGAATTACAGCAAATGTTTTTGCTGTAATAATGAAAGGATCACATGATTTTTCACTTCATTCTGTCAATGTTTTGTATTAAATTATTTTTTCTATATTATTTTTTCTAAATTTTTTATTTTTAATATTAAACCTTGAACTTCTATGGTAAACCTAAAGTGATCAATGTATGTTTTTACTTGAATTCCTTATTGGATTTAGTTTGGTAAATTATTTAGCACTTCTAAACATATGATATTTAAAAGGAATAGTTTCTTTCTTTTATGTCTTGATCATATTCTATTACCAAGGTTATATCTGACTCAAAAAAAGATCTTGTGGTAATTCTTTGTTTGATCTCTGGAAAAGTTTTATGACATTGAAATTATTTCTTTAGACATTTTAAAAAACTTGCATTTAATATATCTGACCTGAAACTTTCTTAAAGAAGAGCCTTAAACAACAGATTCAACTCATTAAATGGTTACAAATAAGTAACATATCTCTAGAACTTCATTCAAACCATCTAAGTTTATAAATCTATTGTTACATCTTTTTAATAGCCTTGTTATCTTTTCACCTATGTATCATCTGTATGCTTCTATTTCCATTTCTTATAAACTGTTGACATTTATTTGTTTTTATAGTTCAGATCTTAAATGTCCACCAAAACCCATATGTTGAAGGCTCAGTCACCAGCTATGGTGGTATTGGGAGGTGCTGGAAGCTTTAGGAGGTGGGACCTTGTGGGAAGAAGTAGATCATTAGGGAAGTGAGCTCTTGAAAGGTGGGTTGGGGCCCTGACCCTTGTCCCTGTCTCTTTTTGTCCCAGCTATGATGAGGTGAACAGCTTTAATCCACCACACATTCCCTGTAATTTCTTGTCACAGGCCTAAGCCAACAAAGCATGGGCTGAAACCTTGGAAACTGGTCATCAAAATAAACCCTTTCTTCTTCTATGTTACTTATCTTGGGTATTTCATTATAGTGACAGCAAGGTGATTAACACACTTGCTTTCTTTAAGTTGATTTTGTCGTTAAGTCTGAAATTTTTATTATTTTTAAAAATCAACTTGGTTTTGAGAATACTTATCATTCTGTTTTCTACTTCATTAGTTTTTATACTTATCTATTGTTTTCCTCCATTTACCATAGGTTTATATGTCATTTTTTAACTTCTTTAGATAGATGTAAAAAACTCTTTAATGACCAAGTGCTGTATTTAAAAGCCTTTGTATTTATACATTTTTGTAAAAGAAATAATTTTATTTCATAATTTTAACCCTTTGTGTGTGTGTGGTTTGAACAGGATTTCATTCTTGCTGGGCAGGTGCTCTACCACTGGAGCCATACCTCCAGCCCTTTTTGCTCTGGTTAATTTGGAGATAATGGTTATGCTTTTTTCAGCTAAATTGTGATCTTCCTATCTAATCATTCATACTTTTCCTGGATTCATAGGCCTATGCCACCATGCTTAGTTTTTTCCCTGCAGAGATGGAGTCTTGCAAACTTTTTTTTGCCCAGGCTGGCCAGGAACCACCATCCACCTGATTTCAGTTTCCCTCATATCTTAGAATGATAGGTACCCAACTATTGGTTGAAATGGGGTCTCAGAAAATTTTTGCCTGGGTGACTTGGAGCCACAATTGTCCCTCTCTCAGCCTCCCAAGTAGAATTTTAAGCATGCATTATTTTCATCATCACTCAGTGTATATTTTCAAGTGCTTCACTTTTGTCTCATGCATCACTTAAGACTGTTTCTTTACTTTCAACTGTAAGAGTTGAAGTTTTCTTAGCTTAATTTTGTCAAAGTTAGAGAAAATGCTTCTAAACATCAATTCTTTAAAATTGCCCTGTGCCTGAAAATGCATCATACTCTTAGTTTGTTGCTGTTTGATGGATTCTACATAAGCATATCATATCAAATTTATTAACTTTGCTCAAATCTTCTATGCACTTTAGGATTTGTCTGCTTTATTAGGTATTAAAATAAAAACTATGAAAATCTATCACTATAATGGAAGTATGTCTGTCCTTGTATGCCTGCCCAGTTTTCTTTATACATTTGTTAGTATATATTATAAGGTGTGGACAAATTTAGAATTACTGTCTCCCTCTTCAATTAAACTTTTCTTTATAAGATGATATAATTTATCTATAATAAATCTATTTGCAGTAAACAATATTCTATCTAAAAGTAAATATAAATATATAAGCTTACTATTTTTCCAATCTTTGGCCTTTAAATGTTCTGTAATCTAACGCTTTAGTTATATCTCTTGTAAAACACAAATAATTAATTTTTGCCAGCTTTGTTTTATAAATATAGATATATTTTCATGTTTTAAAAATAATATTCCTTTTTCTTAGCTATCATAACATTACCAGTAATTTTCTCTGCATTCTTGCCTTCTTTTGAATTAATTTTATATGTTTTCTCATTTTATTTTACCATTTAATATGAAAGTTGTATATTATATGTATTTGAAACTATTAATACTATAAAATACATTTTACTGATTAGGACAAGACTATTTAACTTCTCTTAAATTTCAGCAATATTTTTGTATTATTCCCCCAAATTCTGTGATCTTTTGAACATTTAAACTACATTCACCCATCCCCAGCATAGATGATATTGTTATTATAGATTTTCATTTTCATTTTATAGTCCAAAAATTCTTATTATATTATTGGCAAGATACCTGCTTACATAAATCTCTTGTTCATATTTCTAAACTGTCTATCTCTTTGTTTTAGTTATAGCAATTTGTTTAAATTTATTTTCTACTTATTGATTCTCTTTTTTATTTGGTATAAATTTATAATTAAACTGTTCATTGAAATTTTCCTTTCAATCATACTTTATCATTTGTAAAAATTGTGTGGATCCTTTTTAAAATCTACTTTTTTATTTTGTAGTTTTCTATTCCCTTAGAACTTATTCAAGTTTCTCTTTTATTTCATTACTTTATTCTATTTTTGGTTTTTGAGACAGGGTTTTGCTTTGTATATATTTCATATACTGTGATAAGTCTAGTATGTTTCTGAGTTACCTTTTTCCTTATAAATCCTTTTATTTGAATAACGAATTCATGTTTTTCATAGTTCAATAGACATAAAATTGTATGGTGAAAATTCTGCCCATGCTACTTACCTCCATTTGTTTTATTATATTATTGTTGTACTGGGGGTACATTGTGATATTTATAAAAGTTCTGACAGTATATCATAGTTGAATTCACTCTGTCCATTATTCCCCTTTACCCCCCTCTTCCCCATTCCTGGAATAGTTTCATCAGGTTAATGTTCCATCTTCATACATGAGTATATAATATTTCCACTACATTCAGCCTCCTTACAAATTTTTAGGGGTGATAACAGAATGCCAACAATTCTTACAAGCTCATTGATGCACAAAAGATTTGAGAAGACTTAATCTAAAATAATGTTATTGTCAATAACCTTATTTTCTCTTTCCTCAGATATACATACTGAATATTTGCTGGACTATCCTGTCTTTTGTCTGTACAGCCTTTTATTGTGTTCTGGTTGGACCTTCTTAACCTTTATTGCTGATGGTACTACTGAGGTTGTCCTCTTTCTCTTAAAGAAGCTTCATTTTATTAGGGAATTATTCTGAGTTCATTTCTATTCTTCCTCTCTTTAGCTGTTAGGCCACTTGAGGTGGGAAGACATTCATGTCTCTCCCATGAAATGACTAGTTTCTGAGTATATTGGAACATGTTGCATTTGTACGCCTGATTTTATATGGGAAGATAGCAGTGAATTAATCACTTATAAATCTAGAAGGTATTTAGTTGATGCAGAATCTGAAGTGGTATTAACAAAACTCTTGAATAAACACAAAATTTACTCAAAACAATTAAATAAACCATTTCAAAATGTGCATGTAGGAAATTACAGATTGAGAAAACCAAAACAAGAAGAAATGGAAAGCGGACAAAAATTACATTTTGTGTTTTCCATTTTGTCATGAAGGATAGACTTTTCTGTATGGCAATCCGGTATTTCTTAAATTCACATACTGAATATTTGTAGGACTATCCTTTTTTTGTAGGCACAACCTTTTACTATGCTGTGATTGAGCCTTCTAACTTTTCTTATTGGCAATAGTGGTGGCAAATAATGTTTATATATGACATAGTTTCAAGTAGAAAAAAAAACCCTTTAATCTTCAAGACATAATGAAAATAGAGGTCCCAGAGAAAGATCATAAGACTTTGTGGATACATGTAAGAATTCTAAAAACCATACCAAAATTACACAAAGATAAGAAGAAACAAAGTAAGTGGAAATAGACAAGAAAGTAGCTCCAAGTCCGTATTCCATGTTTTTCAGTCAAATTGATAAAAGAGAGACAACATTAACATGTATCTTTCATAAAAGCCTACTTAGTCTTACACATAAGGATGTACAAGTTATAGAACCAGGTGTGGTGGCACAC